ATGGTGACTGAATGGTGCTGAGGAAGGATGCTGTGGAGTGCCTGTCCCTCTTCACGGTCAGGCAGCGGGCTCTGATGGATGCGGCACACCGATTTGAAATGAAGACTAGTCAAGTGGTAAGCTTGGAGGTTTGGTGTAGGGATCCAAATAAGGGGAGCCTCTTACAGCAGAGATAAGCAGCTGAGCTGTCAGAGCACCTTGAAAGCAAATCAGGGAGCAGCATCAGGAGCGAGCACAAAGATAAAACAGGGCACCCCTGTCTCCTAGTGAGGTGAACGGAGACAGAGAGGTTTGAAAGTTTACCAAAGACATTACTTCATCAATAGTGAATTTCTGGAGAGGGCATGAGGCCCAAGCTCTTAGTCAGGACAAACAACATAAGAAGTGACATGAAGTCAGATGAGACCCGTTGAGTGTGCTCTCTCCAGCACTACCCTACAGCACATGCTCAAGAAAACTTCATGGATAAAAATACAGGCAATAAAGGGTGATCTTTTCTCCTTCAAAAATAACAAGCTCCATCCTCATTTCTCATACTCTGAGCTATTGCACAACCCTTGTACTAGGACTGAAGAGGCTGCTCTGCAAGGGGGGGATATATAACCCCAAAATGAAGCCACTTCCAGAGTCAGAGGAACAGCCCACACCTCAGTCCCTTCTTGGGCATGCCAAAATGCCCAGACAGGTTGGCCAGATTCTTCCCCCACCAGTTATTCACTGCTTTTAACCCAAATGGTTCAGCTGAGCAAAATGCAGGTACACCTGATTTTCACTGCTGTGAGCCAGGGGAGAATGAGACTTATCTGCAGGCTGAAATATGTGCAGGTGAATATATAGCATTTATTCACAAGGCATGTAGGACCTTGCTGTTGTTTGCATCTCTTTTGTTTTCTTTTGTTCTGCTCACATCAGAGAAAGGCGATATGGTAAGAAGATGAATCACTGGTACAGCACATGAGCACTGCTACAAGCAGAGGTCACTGTTTAAATATATCCAGCAACCTCTTTAGAGACCGTAGGACAGGGGTGTTGTGGCTGGACCTTTTGTGCTATTCCCAGACCCCTCAGCAACCCTGTTCTCAGGCCGTGCAAACAGCAGCATTACTAATGAAGCTCCTGGAAGGGCAGTGTGGGAGATGTGCAGAGCCACCTCACCCGCCGTGCTTTGCAGAGGGCAGAAATGAGGCCAACATGCAGGGAAGAGGAGAGGTATAAACCCCTCAACGATCTGCAAGAATACAGTTCCAGTGCTAAAAGCAGTAAAATCCCACTCACATTGGGATTCTGTAGAGGCATCTGCGGGTTAGGGCATAATACAAAGGCTTTTTCTTACACAACTTATTAAAAGCACTACTACTAATACACTGCAAGCCTGATCTGAAATAACCATTGCTATTTCAGGTCTGGCTTTCTCTAGAACTGTGCCATCCCCTGTACCCGTGCTGAGGCAGATAATCCTTACATGAAGGGATTGGGCTTAAAATGTCAGGAATCCAACATGGAGCCTGAGAAGAAATAGAAGACCAGTATTTACTGCTGTCCCAAGAGCCACACTCCTCGCACATGACTCATCTGATCACTTGGTACGTGTGGCTGCTAACCCTGCTGCTACCCTGCCTCTTTCAAGATCCACAAACAGGATTCAAGCTCCAAAGTCACTAAGATGCTTTTAAACATCTTATCCTCAAAAACCGCTGGTTTTGCACCAGAGAAGATGAAAGGTGAGTCTCTCACAGATCTGGACCAGTGCTTTTGGAAATTCTTCCCTGGCTGGGAAATTGCCTTTTTCCATTAGGGGTGCTAATTACTGCTAATTTCTTCTTCCCCTGGCGTTATATGCTGAGCATGACACCATATGGGCTGGAATATCCCTCGGGTCAGTTGGGGTCAGCTGTCCCAGCTGTGTCCCCTCCCAGCTTCTTGTGCACCCCCAGCCTCCTCGCTGGTGGGTTGAGGGGAGAAGCAGAAAAGGCCTCAGCTCTGGGTAAGCACTGCTTAGCAATAGCTAAAACATCCCTGAATTATCAACACTGTTTTCAGCACAAATCCAGAATGTAGTCCCATACTAGCTACTGTGAAGAAAATTAACTTTATCCCAGCACAGGAGCCCAGGTCAGCCACCGGTGTGCTGTGACTTGGGTGTTTTACCTGATGGCTTGCATTTCAAGGATATGTGAGAATACCATGAACAACTCCATAAGTCATTCTTAGGTAAAAAGATGTCCTACAAGGTCGTGTATCCCTGTGACACTCTCCCTTCCACCCCAGGACACAGGGCTGTCGTAAAAAAGAAAGTCTTCCATGAATCTTACTGTTAAAATGTAAAATTTTTTCCCCTGATGTTTATGAGAAATTTAGTCTTTTGTAGCCTGTAGAGCCACCAGATGATGGCAAAACTGTTTCAAACAGTCTGAAGACAGATTAAACTTCTGAGAAAATACTGCCTGTTCCCATTCACTGCATCCTCTGAGTACAGGCACTTAACCTGCATTCGTATTTTTTGAGCCTCCGAGATATAAAAGTTTTGGGATGTACAGGGGTAACCTGCTTCAGTATTTACACTTTCAGAGTGCTGAGGCTCAAAATCCCCGCAGTGTGCTCCTCACCCCTAGGCCAGGCAGCATCTCCTGCCAAAGCACGCAAAACCTGGGATGCCTGGGGAGCAAGCTCCCCTGGAGAGCGGTCCAGCTTGCTTTTGCTGATCTAGTTCCTTTATCAGTGAGTGTTTTGCTTGTGATAAAAAGTACTCAAGGAAACACGGTGTGAATGACCTCGGTGAGAGTGATGTCAATGTCTAAAGAGACACTCCAGAAGGCTGCTTTGGCTGACCACAAATCTTTTGTCTCCAAGGCAGTGTAGCTCAAAAATGCACCAAAGACTTCTCTGAGCTGTTTCTATCACTGCACTCATCACTGGAACACCTGAGGGCCTTCAAGTCTTGAATTAAGCAACATGACAAACATGTCACAGCTGGTTCATTCTCTCTTTCCTTCTCTTCTGAAGAGGAGAACCTAAGTGCAGTAAATTGCTCTCACAGGGCTTTGGCTTTCCGTGTCTGGGAGGGGAAGCAAGGTGAAAGAAGCACTTCTAATGCAGAGAGAAAAAAAGGACAAGCTTTCTGCGATGGTCTCTGGTTTCTGCGGAAGGTTATTCTAGAGCTTCGGCTTGGGTAGTCTTTGGTTTTGGAAGTAAAAAGTCCAGGACCCTCAAGGAATGCAACTGTCGAACCTACTCCCCTCCTAAGGCATTTCCGTAGGTATTAGCCCAAGTGCTGGAGCAACCCAGAAGACTTCAAGCCTGACTCGGACCTCTATGGGAAGCCAGTGCAGAGAGAGGATGAGTGTGATGGACTTGCGTAACTTGTATCACACCACAGCATTCAGTGTTGGCTGCATTTTCCTGAGGGCTGATGGCTTCATGCCCAGACACTGTACATTTCATTATGATAAAAAGACCCACTCAATTACGGAGCTCACTCCTGCAGCCCTTATTTTCAAAACAACACTTGCATAAATGGTCTTACAGCTGACAGCAAGAAGGCTTGCATAAGGAAGGACAGACCCTTTGAGCAAAAGCAGGATGAACAGACCAAGCTAAACAAGCACACATAACCCAGCAGAAGTGTGCTTTTCAGTATGGGTAGTAGTAATTTCCCCTAAATAGAGCCCAACTTTGTCCACTGAAGCAAGAAAAATACCTAAAATAGTGACAATTGCAGGTTCTTATGGCATTTTTCTTCCAAGCACAGCTCTCCTACTTCCTTCTCTGAAGCAGATTTTGAAGCATTTTGAAAAGTAAGCCAAGCTGCAGCACTTTCCCTGATTGGGAACATTGTTTTTAAACCGCTTACTGCAGATTCCTGCTCCTCCGGTACAGTGCAGGGCACAAGGCATCAGCAATTTCTGTGCCTCCGCGGGAGGACAACCACTGAGAGAAGGCAGCCTGCCTTCAGCTCTGCTCTCCTCCTGCCTGCATCAGCTGGTCTTGAACTGTTTGCCTGCAGTGCTTGTGCACTCGCATGTAACGCAGCCAGGTGTTTTTGGCTTTCCTTCCATGAGCTTGGGAAGCTCCTGGTGAAATGCCGCTGGGAACCAGTCACTCAAAGGGAATGGGATATGGGAACAGAGTGGGAATATCCCAACAGCAGTCCCTCCTGCGCTGCTCCCCACCACTGGAAGAGGCTTCATATTACCTTGGCAATTCTCCATTGTGAGGATGCGCACTGAGAATTTAATTTAAGTGTGAAATCTCTGCAGCGAACCATAGGAAAACTGCCTCAAATTCATACAGATAGTGTTTCAAGTTAACTAATCCCACAAATCAGAAAGGAAATAAGCTATTAATCATTTTCTCCTTCCAAATTAACAAAGATCAATCACTGCTAGCAGGCTTATAACAACATCTGGGTAAGACAAAAAAGCCAAGTCTGGGGCCAAGGCTGCGTATTTGGGGACCAGGTCAAAGAGGGCAGAACAAAACTCTGCCCTTGAACTGCACCAGGGCGGAGTGGCCTCAGCTAAAGCTGAGTGACTTGAAGCTTTCCCCAGCTCCTCTCTCCCACCTCTGGCTGTGGCTGCTGAAGCATGTCCCCGCCAGCTGTTTCCCTTTCTCTTAGGACCACCAAAACCCTGACGGTGAGGACGAGATTATGTACCTACACTTGATGGCACCAGTTCCGATGGACACTCAGAGAAGTATTTATCTAAGCACATGCTTAACTCCATCCCTATTTAGCAAAGTACTTACGTAGAGGCACAAATTTATGTCTCTATGGCTACAAGAGATGTAAGCCTGTCATTAACACTTTTTTCTCAATCAGGGCTTATGTGCCATTCTTAGTCGCAGGATGATGCTCTGCATACGTGAAAGGCCACGTTTCTCCTCTGCTCCTCAGAGTCCCCTCCGGCCTTACTTAGAAAGCTATCCGCAGCAGCTCAGCAGCACGGAGATGGGGCAGAGGAGAGCACGGTGGAGAGAGCAAAAGGCAAAGCAAGACTTACGTTGGCTTTGAGGCTTCAGCCTGGTCAGTCTGCAGTTTCTCCCCACCTTCGACTTCCATAGTGCAGTACACAATACGGTTGGGGGCCAGTGACTTCAGACCCTGCACCTCCATGATGACAACCTGCGGGTCAAAGAAAGAGGAATGTCAGAGGAGCAGCCTCCTTCAGGCCTCGCTCCGGCGGCTGAACCCAGGGGCTCAGCCGGCGCTGAGGTCCTCCACATGCTGCTGGGCGTTCGTGGTGGCAGGCGGGCAGGGATGGTGGCACTGCCCTGGCGGAGCGGGGACCGCGGCAGCCAGCGAGGTCTGTATGGAGACCGGGAGGTCTTCCTCTGACTGCACGTGGGCTTGTTGAGACCCTTGGGTGCCCACGGCTGTACCAAGATTCAGGAGATGGGCCTCACAGACAAGGTCCTGCCCCACCTAGAAGTGCCTTAATACACGAAATCCAGAAAAAAAGCATGCAGCTACTCAGCTTGTGCTAAAAGCCTATTTTCAAGATTGATCGTAGAATGGTTTGGGTTTAACCTTTGAAAATCATCTAGTCCAATCCCGTTGCTGTGGGCAGGGACACCTTCCACTAGACCAGGTTGCTCAAAGCCCCATCCAACCTGGCCCTGGCCTTGAACACTTCCAGGAATGAGGCATCCACAGGTTCTCTAGGCAACGTGTTCCAGTGCCTCACCACCCTCATCGTAAACATTTTCTTCCTTACATTCAATCTGAATCTACCCTCTTTCAGTTTAAAATGGTTGCCTCTTGTCCTGTCACTACAGGCCCTGGTAAAAAGTCTTTCTCCACCTTTCTTATAAGAAATCTTCCTTATTAAGAAATCACCATCTAAGTTTCTTGCAGGTAATTACCCTTTTTTTTTAAAAAGGTGATAATCCTGTTAACCACGTACCTTAAACATTTCTACAAGAAACACCGTGGGAGTTTCTGTTCGTGTTTTACTACGGCTATCTATGATAGCCCACAGGGGTTTAAAATTCCTCTCCTCAGGTCTTCTGATCTGTCCTTGCACTGAAGATCCCTTCCCTGGCACACAGAGCTCCACAAACCCTCTCTGATGAGCACACATTTTCAGTAAAAGCTCTCTTGCAGCAAGAGTTTTGTGCACAGAGCAGTGCACAGACCTGCCAGCTCCTGAAGTCAGTGCTTCGCTGAGCTTCTGCTTCCCACCAGACAGGGTTCGGCTGGAGCAAAGCGTTTGAGACATCCTGCAGTAAGGGCAAGTCCCTTTATGCACAGCTATACACGCTGCACAGGCTTTTGCAACAGAGAGGTCTACCGCTTTGTGATAGTTGCCTGCTCCTCCGTATGGGAACACTTAGAAGTCAGGCTTTATTTGATGCTGCTGTTGAAGGCACCATCTCTGGGTTCATAGACCTATTTTTAAATAAGACTGAACTGAATATTATAAAGATGGTTTCAGACTTCTAATGAGTTAAACTCTGAGACTGGACAACCAGCATCGTTAAGTTTTGCATTGGCATGATATATATAACAAAAGACCCCTTAGGAAGACAAATAAACAGGAAACTATACAAAAATAGAATTTTCTGATTTTTATGCATCCTACATTTTTGACACCAACCTGGCTGTTGTTTTGACAATGTAACATAAACCCACTCATTGACAGACAAGAACAACTCTGTATGGGTGTACTGATGACTCCTTGGAGTAAATGTCTTACTTAGACCGCAAATATATTTGCACAGAACAATTAAGTTGGCTGAAAACAGATACTGCAGTAACACTGCTTCCAGGACCAAGAGAGCCTGTGTCGGAGGTGACGGCGGGTCCCTGCAGCACCCTACCTTCCCCTGGGCTGTACAGACAAACTGCTCAACAGAGCACTGAGCAGAAAGTCAGTAATCCACACAAAGCAAAGAGCAAGCCAGCAAAGCACAGTATTTCCACACAAACTCCAAGCCAACCTGTTGGGTGCCTTCAAACCCCAGCCATTTTTAGCAATTCTCCAAAGAGGAAGCAAGGCTTGCAGGGAAATACAGTGACACCTCTAACTGGCAATAATTAAACAGCCTCACATTTATGGCATTGCATTATTATAGTGGTTTCAGGGACAATACAGGCTCAGGGTTACTGGGGTACACTCAGTAACAAGCTGCATGGAGAAGTCAGTTAATGATGCGGATTTCTGAGCCATTTGATATATATATCACCAGGAAATGCCAAACAGTTTATCTCACATAGTTTGTTCTAACAAGATGTCCAGAAAGGACACAGTGTTTGACCACAGGCAAAGCTTCTGGTAACTCAGGGAGGAGCCATTCCTCATGGAGATCAGAAAGTGATTTCTACTGTCTTCTCTCCACCTAACTAAATTTGAACTGAGCAGAAGTTGGCTGCTGTGATTTTTACTCCCACGAACTCTGCACACTGTTGCATGCATGAACCTTACCTCCAGGGAGAATGACAACACGACGTCTGACTTGGAAAGCTGGTTCTCGTTTTCTTCTCCCATGTCAATTATTGAGGTGTTGTGACTACGTTTCAGCTTCTGCAGCTTGAACTCAGAGCCTCCTTTAGACACAGGCATGCTCTCTAAGTTTGCCATCAGGAGATTGACAGATGACTTCAGCTCCTCGATATACATGTTTTCCATTTCTTTGGACACAAACTTCGGAAACTTGCGCTCCTTGGATTTGGAAACAAAAAACCAGAATCAATGGCTGTGACAATCAGCAACCACTTGTTACACTGGGAAAATCCCCCAGGAGCATCTGCAGAGAGGTTTGCGAGCAGAGAACTCCCACAAACCAGATGACAAATTACAGTTTCCCCCCGTGTAATGTAGAAACATTATTGTTAGCTACCCATAGAATTACTGCTTGGTAGTTATCCAACTTCACTGTTTCTTGCATGCACTTGCATCTCATTGTTTTTTCTATCTGCAGATGGACTTCTTCCTATACGTATGTATTCACAATTAAAAACACTCTAGGCCAGATCTCAGCTGAACTTTGTGATTGACAGCAATTTACTAATGATGCAGAGGATGCTGACAGTAAGGGACTTGTTTTCCAGTCTCCCAAATGTGCCAGCTCTTTTTAAAACACTTTTGAGCTCCGTTAGTTTTCTAGGTGTGAAAGAAGCCCAAGGAGGGAAAATCAGCAACGTGTGGGCAGCAATGTGTGGTCCCAACTGGAAGAAGGGGTAAACCACCTTTTCCAATACTTGCCAGGGCCTGCGTCTCCCTCCGACAAGACAACCTTTCACTGTGAGACCATCCAGTGCTGCTTGTTGTAAACAGGACACTTAAACATTAAAAACAAAGGTGACAGCGAGAGCAAAACGTGATGTTCCCCAATGTGCGTTCTCAGCTTTGAACTGCTGCCCGTGCTCCAGCTCTGTTAGGATCGCTGGTCTGAGCCCTACATCTTCTGACAACTCTGCCCACGCCTCGAATCTTCTCAGGGTTAGAACGTCTCTCAGTGGGTTACAAGAGACTGTGCAAAGCGTATGACAGCAGGGCAGCATCTGCAGCCAGGGAACTCGAGGCTGACGTGCAAAGTATCCTAGTGGCAATTCATAATATTGTAAAAAGCAGTTTGTAAAATGTATGCTAGAAAAGAAAACAAGGTCATGTTTCTTCTAGAAGACCGTCATCGGGCTGCTGAAATAGTACTCCACTGCACTAATTTTTGCATTGGTCCTCAATAGCTTACCCATTACAAGCACAGAAGCACTCGCACCAAGCAGTTAAAATATAGTCTTCTGTTTCCAGTCTCAATCTTGGGAAGCAATTCCCTCATGTAAATTAGACCTGGCATAAGATAAACTACCTAATCAGTCTGGTTTACTGTCTATGCATTATATAAGTTGCAAGCCACTCCTAGGAAAAAAAACAACACAACTGTTTTGTAGATTTTGAGAACTACTGCTGAAGCAATGATGTTCCAACGTTATTGCTTTTTCACCCTGCTGCTATCCACCTCTCCAGGGACTGCAATTTTGGCACTGCCCCCACAGATCTCTTCAGAAGGAATGACCAGTCCAGCAGGCTGGAGCAGAGTAGGTCCAGCCCCAGTTGGACATACTGCTCCGGTGTCATCACAAGGTCTCATTTAGTTGCCCCGACATGTGCTCCTCCTTGCCCTTGAGGCCAAGGTGACTGGGTGGGGAGAAAAGCACCACAGGACAGCGGAGCACTTGCTACTGCAGAGAAAAATATACCTCTGCCTTGGCATCACTAAGCTCTCAGCTGTAATGCTGCTCTCATTTAGCTGCTGGAAAAGTACAACATGCAGAGTAAAAAGCCTGTCCAGATTCAGCTTTAAAACATCTGCTTGACTTTGAACGTGATCCTCAAGCTGGCTGGCTCCAAGGCTGGGCTTATGTGCTCTGATGGAGTCAGGCTCCGGGGGGACCCTGCCTAACGCTGCACCGGCGCTGTGCTGAGCTGCGCTCTCCTGGGCACACGAGGAGGCAAAAAGACCCAGAGCTGTGCCCTGGTATCCAGATGCAGGAAAGCTGGCGTGCACAGTGACTTGTTCAAGGTCAGACGACAGGTCAGACGAGGGCTTGCAGAGCCACCAGTTCTCCAACACCGCAAACCCAGGTCCCGTTAAGACTCCACAGCCTTTGTTGCCTCTGAAGTACAAATGTCCCAGTGCGAATTTCTTAATTTATTATCGAGGCATTGATTTGCCTTCAGCATGGAATCTCCAAGACGGCCACCTCAGGGCTGGCTTCATGAGCACTGTAAGTCTGCCTGGGCAGCAAATCTGCATTAAAAGCTGCAAATTGGAGATAAAATTGGAAACGCTACCCTTTCGCTGAGCTGAATTGTGAACCTGCCTTACGTTAGAGGGAAAGCAGCCTTGCCTGGAAAGGAGGATACAGAGAAGGATTCAAAAGGTCATTTGGATATGCCTCCAAAAGATGGTGTACATGGGTCTGAAAGAACAAGGTTTCTTGTAGGCAGGTGCTGGAGGGATCTGACATTCTGGAGAGAAGGCCTGCAGCAGTAATGTGAAGGAGATTAAATATCAATACCTGCCAACTGGATCACAGGTAAGTCACTTTTACTCTAAACCACCCTCCAAGCTGCACAGCTGTATTTTCAAGGCTGAATTCTGCACAGGGAAATGTCAGGTTGTGTTGAGGACTTTCCCCTGACTGTCTTTCGCAGGGCCAGCAGTGGCATGGCTTGTTTTCAGCATCCTTGGGGGAGGAATAGAAATGGCAAATTCTCGTTTGCAAAAAATAATTCATGAAGCTGCAGCCTCTGCTGGCTGCTACTGAACCATGCATATTGTTGTCCCACATGCCATAAAGAGAAAATGAAACAATGAAACCAGGCAATCTCAGCCTGGCATCCCAGTCCCTGGCTGCCCATCTCAGAACCGGAGCAGCAGCGCTCTGCACAGAGGCTTGCATTTTGCCACAAATAAAAAATACTGTCGGTTTTCTTGACAACAAAATGGCAAAGGGCTAACTGCTGAACAAAGGAGCTGCAGTCAGTTTGCTGCTTTGCTGTGCCATCCTTTGGCCACGTCGTCCTGGACCACCTTACTGTTTTTGTCAGTGAAGTGGGGAAAAACAGAACCCACCTCCCCAAAGACGCAATGACTGTAGCTGTTTAACAGAAGCATTAGTGAGGAGTAACTGCGCAGGCACTACCAGCACCCTTGCTAACTCCTGACCGTAAATGAATGTGCTCTGCTTTTCACACCCAGGGACATCAGTGTGCTTGCAAACAGCTGATACTAGCTTTCTCATAAAACCCCCCAATTTGGGCAGAGCTCAGTGCCAGGAGGACTGCTGCTGAAAGGCAGGTCCCTCGCCTGAGCTACATCTCTCTGATTAGACCTTTTTATCTTCCTTCTAGTAATGGTTTCTTGATTATCAAGAACAGCCAGATAGATCATTCCCAATGACTTCAGCCCTATTAGGGCTTTATCGGTGACTCAGAGCATCTGATTAGAGGCAAGGATAAAATCCTGCCCATACTAATGTCAACAGGATCCAGGGCTTCCGTCCATCTATGGTCCATTGGTGGCCACGTAAATCTGCACTGAGCAACAGTGTGATTTGCTCCTAGGGAGATGACTCCTTACAGAAAGGTCTCTAGGGAGCTTAGCTGAGTGCTTGATTATGAAAACTGTTTGGAGGTCCCATGCCTGCTGTTCCACACGGCAGTGGTGTCCGCACGGTGCAATGCTAGCCTGACTGCTCTCGTGCAAAGTGTGAACATGTTTGGGACAACACACCCGAAGCACCTTTACTGAGGCAGCACCTACCTATAGGCAGGGAACTGTGGCTCCCAGCAGCCCAGCGAATGGCACAAACCCCATTAGGGCAACTTCTGGCTCCTTTTTACATGCCATTGCCCAACTTATTGCCTAGCATAGAAGTTTGACAAAGAGGGCTCAGACATGCACTTGCAGATCTAGCTGGAGCACTTCAGGACAGTATCTTCCCCACCGCTGAGGATTCGTACGGGATTTTGCAGGAACCTAAACTCTCCCAGCTCATCAGGACATTCCAAGAAATGGGCACCACAACAGCTTCATTTGTACTTGTTGTTTTGTTTGTAGTTAAAAATCTGCTAATTTTTAACTGGTGATTATTGGGAGAAGAAACCTGTGAGAAAAGGACAGGACCTTGGGACTGCATCAAGCTACTTATGTGCTTCTCTATGAAGAGCTTATTAATACGGAAGACTTTTTTTTACCTTAGCAATTTGCTCTGCCATTTGAAGACGTCCATCTAACTCGCGTCTGATCTGTGCTGCTTGCTCATCTGGGTTGTCCAGCTGTATAAAAACAAAAGGCAAATCAAGATGAAAAATCAACCGATGCGGCACCTTTACAAGCAGTTCAGTTCTTCAGGCTGACCATCTGTATTACATTATCAGTGATAGCACAGAGGGAGCGGTGACAGGCCCAGCTCTGGGACAGAGCCCCCCACAAAGGGGACACACAGCGGTCACCACCCCAAGACTGACACGACCAGGGGACTGTGCAGACCCTGTTTTGATGCCTGCCCAGCTGCCTCCTGGGGCTGAGCATCCTCACCCCGAGGTCTTATACCCGCTTTGCCCTGTGAGCCAGCCTGGCAGCAAGCCTTGACAGTGACAATCTGAACCCCTGAAAAGTGGGGTGCCCTCCGCGCTGTCACTTCGCTGGTGCTTGGGAAGCCATAGTCCCCCTGTGCTGGGGCAGGACACACGGCAGCTCCAGATCACCAAGCCCTGCTTGCCACCCAGGAAAAGACAGAAGGCTGCTCAGCAGAAATGCACAGCAATAACATTTGCCTGTTTTCTTTCCCTTTTCCCCCATATTGCTGCATCCCTGTGCTACCACCCAATTCGTGCAATTGGATTTCCTGCAGCATTCAGCAGAGATTTTCTTTTTTTTTTTTTTTTTTGAAACACACTACCCACAGCCCTGTGGTTCAGTGTTTGGTGGCTGCCTGGCCCCGAAATGCCTTGTGAGGGTAAAATGTTGTTTGTGCCAGTTAAGCAAGCAATTACAGCACACACAGAAGAGGCACGGGGACTGCTGTGAACAGTTTCCCATTGGCAGGACTGCGGGCAGATCTGTTATTTTTAGTGGGAATACACAGACATAAATTATAGAACAATAAAAAAGCACAAAATCAAACTAGCCCCCGAAGAAGTCGATAGCTGCTGTAATGAGGTGGCAATTTTATAGCTGCTTTCCAGACTCTAACCACTCTTTAGACTCCTTCAGGGTCATTTTGGCCACGGCACAAGGCTAGAAACATGCGGCAGCGGGGTGGTCATGGCACCGCTCCACCCACGAGGCACAAAACCAAGCTCAGCCTGGTGCAAAACCTCACGGTTTTGGTTCACCTCCTGAAGCAAACGTGACTTCAGGAGGGCTGGCTCCTCCATCCAAATCCTGCCTTCATTTGCAAAGTATCAGCTCCTTCTGGCTACCGGCAAACGCAATTGCCACAAGCTACTGTAGGTCAGCTCTCCTGCCAACTGCTACACATAAATGAGCTTTATTCGCTGGCGTGGGGTTGTGTTAACCACCTCTCTGGGTTTTATCCTCCTCTGGAGACAAACCGCTTGACAAAAGAAAGGCTCGGCTGGTGCAGTGCAGTCTGGAAAGTTACAGCTACAGCGACGACTAAACTTTCAATTCTCAGCCTGACGAATGATGAGCTCGTTTGTTAGCACTCCCTGGATGGGCTGAAATATGCTGCTTTCTCCCAGATCTACCGCTTTCCATGGCATCTTCTCGGTTGTCTGCCTGCGCATCCCGTGTCTCCCCTCTCTCACACATGCTCATGTAGCTCTGTGCGCGTGCAGGCGTATTGCTTCCCCACCGATGATTTTCCAGAGACCCGACATTCCTTATGGCTGAGATTGAGGGAAAGTCTGGGTTTGACTAGTTTTTGAAAGCCTCCACTACTCATTTAATTCAAGCAGAAAACTACAAAGTGTCCTGACCGTGATCCAAATCCACTGAAGTTTCAGTGATCTCTGCTGTGGCCACCCAGGTTTCGTTCACACCAGGCGCACCACATAACCTGCTGCCTTCACCTTTATATTCCTGATCCCCAAACCAGTACAGAGCCATGGACCACCAACACCTTTTGGGATCAGCTGCCCCCATTAATTTCTCCATGAACAAATGCATCACACGACTGACCTCCACCAATGTGCAAGCATCTCTCAGAGCTGCTTCATTAAGGGTAGGGAATGTACAGTCCCAGATTTCCATTTCATTGCAACTCTGAAAGAGGGGGCATTATTTGAATTAAACCCGAGCTACAGTAATTGAGGTTAATCACATGCTACCCAAAATAACTCATGTGCTAAATTTAGAAATCAAGGATGCTGCTCTGGAGGAGAGCTGTTTTTGCGATATGATAATGAGCCAGCAAACTGCCCTACACTTTCTGCACTATCTTGATTTTGCAGATGTTTTCCAGTGAGGCTACAGGTGTCAAAAACCACGTCAAGGAAATATCTGACTGCAGAAGATTATTTTTCTTAGGAGGCAACAAGCACCCTTGGCAGCCTCCTTGGTTGTGGTCAGTGGGTAAGATACTCCTTTTCAGGGCTATATACTGCTCTGCTTCCCAAGGTTAATTAGCGATGACAAGTCAGGTAACCTGGTATTTAAAGGAAACAAAAAAAATCTTTCCAGGCCTTATTTTCTCAAAGACTGCATGATAGCTCCATGGTAAGACCTGATCTTTGGGAAAGCAATCACTGCTGTGGCCAGCAGAACGGTTTCTTCTTGCTATCTACAGAGCAGTACTAATGAGGCAGCCCCTGCCTGCAGTCCCTGCGTCCTCCTGGCACGTTCCAGCAGACCTCTTGTGCCTGAGAGCAGCAGCCCAACAGCTCAGCCACTTACTGCTCCTGAGCTTGGGAAGGGCACCTGCTGCCGTCAAAGCAAGCCGAGTACGTTTTACACAGTCATAACACTATACAGGGCCATTAAGAGAGTCATGCTGGTGCCCATAAAATATACTTTGCTTGTGAAATAAAGCAAGAGGCAAACGTAAGGCATGCTACCTAAGCAAGACCAAACATCCAAGTAAGGCAACACAGATCCTAATATTGTTAAAACTCAATTTCTTAACTAGAGAATCAGATATTTATTTTCTGCCGTATGCATGCCCACTTTATATTCACATACTTGACAGCCAAATATATAAATGATTTACAAAGTCAAAGAGAAATTGAATTAGTTTTGTTCTGCATTATGACTACGTTATGGGTGTGCTATGAATAAAGCAAAGATATAAATCATAAGGTTGCCCCAGTCAATTAAATGTGAAAAGTATTATAAATTTCAGTATATATATGATTTGTCATATGCACTGGGCTTTTCTTCAGCAGCATGCCACAAATATATGACGTATATAATTTGCAATTCTCAACTGATCATTACCCAACTGCCTGCTGGTAAATTAGATGTTTTCATACGTCTACCCGCATACGACATTAGTTCTCTCTGCTTGCCCTGCAGAGATTATCTACGTTGGTGTAACAATTGCTAAAGTAAAAGAATAAAAATTTTTAAAATTATGTATATCAGATTCTGAGTGGAGCCCCAAACTGACTAGCATGGCAGCCAGCCCGTTGCTGAAGGCATTGCAGGACATGTGCCTACTTTAACCCCTGGAGACCATTCAACTGCAAGAAGAAGACCTTGCAGAAGACAGTGGGTTTTTACATATAAACTGCTAATAAGGAATAATTTTTAATGGGCACTAATAAATGAAAGAGGTACAAAATGTTCATCACGCGAGTTTGACAGTTTTAATACCAGTAAGAACCAGCCGCTGGTCTGCAGAAGCAACCCTTTGCTTCCACAACCCTGAAACAAATTCACTGCGAGACTTGTCCTCATGTTATCCCAGAGGGATGGAAGACAATCTCTCTACACCTTTGAAAGGCAGAAGCAGAGGCAAACCAACCAACCTAATTAAGTCATAAGATCTTCAACGAGATGCATAGGGACCTACCAAATCCACGCCTAAACTATTTGGTTGGTGTGTCAGACACTCCCGCCGTATTGCCCAACCTGAGCTTTGTAGTATTTAAAGCCAGGAGCCCGGGCTCACCTCCACTCACCCTGGGAAACACTGGAGGCAGTTCAAGCACATAAACAGCATTAAGGGACACTTTAAATTCCCGGGTTTTTGCAGTCAAAGTGTTGTATATTTAAAGCTCCAGCTTCAGTTTATCACAGCTTAAAGCCAAACCATTTACAATCACAGCCCCGGCTCCAAACGTGATGCTGGGGCAGTGCAGGCTGCCCTCCTCTTCCCTTCTTCATTAGCCCCAAAGCAGTTTTGCTCAGATGAACACCTCAGACCGACCCACCTGCCTGGGGACCGAGCAGGGTACGGCCCTCGTGCCATCGGCCGCAGTGAGAGGGCTGCAGCTGGGGTAACCCCCCCAGCCTGGGGACGATGCTGGTGGCACAAGTGACGCGCCGTACACGGCACTCAGCCGGTCGGTAAGAGAAGAGTGGGTCTGGATGTGCCACCGAACACTTATTGATGGGGCACGCTCCCAAAAGACATGCGTGAGTTAAACACGATGCGGATCTATATCCAGGCTCTGAGCTCAGCACTGTTGGAAATAACGTTGTTGTAAGCTACGAGGGTTTATAATGAAATAATGTTGTTGTAAGCTACAAGGATTTATAATGACAGGATGCAGCATAGAGATACAACCTTCAATGATCAGCGTAGCACTGATGCAACATGCCGTGGACATGACAGGTATTGTCAGTATAATTGTCATCAGCCCCAGCCAGAAACCACTGGGACCATTTAACAGTTTAATCCCTCCCTGACAGTCACTGCTAATGCTGATCCCCACTTCCCAGCAAGGGCAGCAAGTGTCACAACATCCCCATTTCTGAAGCGTAACCGAGGCTTGTCTGAAAGTCTCTCCCCTCCCTTTGAGAAAGGTTATAACGTAGTGGTGAATCCAGCCATTCTCCTGCAGAGGACAAACCATTTGCAACAGGGTTCTGGAAAACCACATTTTAAATGCTCTGGCAATGCGAACGCTGAGCTGCAGCAACCTGCTTTGTGCTGCATCAGGAACGGAAACAAACCTGGCTCTGCACCTTCTGGAAATGAAAGCGTTTAGTCCAGGTCTCCATGAAATCCACAGCCACCGCCTGTGCCGGTTTTCCGCCGCGGCAGTGTTGGCACCGGGGGACGGGTGATCCCTCCTGCACAGCCGAAGGCAGGCGCAGACGGGCTGCGACTGAGCAGGGACCACCCTGGCTGGGGTCACTGTCAGCG